GGGCGGGGCTTTGGGGGGGGGGCAGCCAGGGCGGGCCTCTCGGCTGGCAGACCTGGAGCCCCGGGACTTGGGAACATTCCCCTGACCCAAGTGGTACAGGGCTGGCAGCCCGGGGCCACCCTCCGGGGTCAGTCCCATGGCCCCCTCCCCCACACTGCTGCCCAGCCGTGGTCTTTACTGGGGGCCGTGTGCCAGGCCTGGGGCCGAGGAGCTGAGAGGTGCTCTGAGCCGCAGGCCCACAGGCTGTGGGGAGGGACCGTGGTCCTGTGGCCTCGGGCAGGGGTGCACAGTGGTGAGAGCCAGGCTCTCCTCCTCCCTGGTCCCCCATTTCCTCACCTGTACACTGGGGACAGTACCCAGAGGGATAGCTGGAGACCCTGAATCGGTGGAGGTGGCCGTTAGTACCAGCCTTCCCTGTGTGCCTCAGTCTCCCCTCTAAACCCTCGGGCTCAGGTCCTGAGTGTTGCCTCTCGGGTCACCCGTCCTGTCCTGGGGTTTCACTGAGGCCCCACCAGCCTGTGTCTCCCCACCGTGGAGGCCTGGGGGCGGGGTGTGGCTGGGCGGTGGCAGAGCTCAGCCTTTGTCCCCAGACCAGCCTGATGGCGAACTGCCAGGCACCCCGCAGGCCCTGGCTGGCCTCCCACATGAGCATGGTCTTCGTCTCGCTGCTCTGTTTCCCGTCCTTCCTGGGCGCGGCCGTCTTCCTCTGCTACGCCATCTGGCAGTGAGTGGGCGCTGGCTGCTGGGGTGTGGGGAGGTGCTGCCCGGGGGCCTCGGGGGCAGGGGCTGGGGCCAGGGTTTGGGGTGGTGTGGAGGTTGCCTTTGCCAGGCTGGGGGCTCAGGCTGCCCTCTCCCCGCAGGGTGAAACCCTCAAGCCTCTGTGGGCCCTTCAGGACCCTGGACACCATGTACGAGGCGGGCAAGGTGTGGGTGCGGCGCCTGGAGAGAGCCGGCCCTGGGGTCGCCTGGCTGCCCTGGGTCCACAAGTACCTGGTGGAAAACACCTTCCCCGTCTACCTGGTGTCGGCCCTGCTGCTGTGAGTGCCCTGTAGGAGGGGGAGGGTCCGTGCCCCCGCCCGCCCGGGCTCCTGCAGGGTCCAGCCTGACCACCTGCCCGGCTCCCGCAGGGCTGTCATCTACCTCAACATCCAGGTGGTGAAGGGCCAGCGGAAGGTCATCAGCCTCCTGAAGGAGCAGATCAGCAATGTGAGTGCCCCTCGCTGCCCCCGGCGCCGCCTGCTGGCTCACCCCAGGACCCTCCCGTCCCTCTGGAGCTGAAGGACCCTTCTCCAGGCCGGCCTTTGCCACTGACAGTGTCTCCCCAAGGTCCGGCCCTGCCCCCAGTTCTGGATCTTTGGGGCTGCATGTCAGAACCCCGCTAGTGCTGGCGCGGCTTTCCCAGGCCCCGGGCAGGCGGCTTGCTCCTGTGAGGCCCATTTTGGGCTTCTGAGCTCCAGAACTGGCAGGTGATGAGTTTGTGTGTTTTAAGCCACTAAGTTTGTGGTGACTGATTAGTGCAGGGGTGGGGAACATCCGGCCCTCGAAATCATTTGGTCTGGCCCTGCCAAGGCAGCCGCAGGTGGGACTCGAAATTCAATAAACCTAGGAGCTTTTTTCATTGCAAATTTTTAAGTTGATAATTTTGTATGGCCTTCAAATGATGTTATAAATGTCCAAATGGCCCTCGGCAGAAAAAAGGTTCCCCATCCCTGCGTTAGAGCAACAGTAGAAACCAATAGGAGCCCAGTGACTGACGTTCGTGTCCCCCGTGACACCTGGCGGCTCTGAGGTTGGAGAGGAGCTGATCTGCCCAGGCAGAGCTCGTCAGTAGTGGGGTCCTCACTGTGCGGCTGGTCCCATTTCCCTTTTCACCTTGGCCACTAGGAAGCACAGAACTGTCGCTATGCCCACTGCCCGGCTCCAGGTCTCCTGTCCTTGCTTTGGTGCCTCTCCCCCTTGCTTTGAACTCTTTACTCGTGGCATTGAGTACCCGAGGGCGCCCTGGAGGGCGTCTGGAACAGCGGTTCTGGAGGGATGGACAGTTTCTGTTCTCTTACCTTTCGTGTCCTGGCGTTTCTAGGAGGGGGAAGACAAGATCTTCTTAATCAACAAACTTCACTCTGTGTACGAGAGAAAGGAGAGGAGCAGGTGAGGGGCTTTGGGGGGGGCGCCCCGTGAATGAATGTGGGGGGAGGGGGCAAGGGGCTGGACCGCTGGGCATCTTCCCCTGGGGCATCGAGTGGAGTTGGGGATGGGAGGGAGGTGGCTGCTGGCTCCTTGGGGTCCCTCCTTCCCCACATCCCTCCCCAGGTGGGGAGGAGGAGACGGTCAGGTTTGGTGAGAGAGGGAAACCGCTGCGTGCAGGGGGCAGGGTGGAGCTGGGGCTCTCACGCCCTCCCCTCCTCTCCCTTCTCTGTCAGCTGGGGGGCAGCCTGGCTGGCCTCTGGTTCCCCTGGCCCCCTTCTCCCCATGGGGTCAACACCTGGAATGTCGAGATTCAGCCTGGATTGTCCCGGGCCTGAAGGAAGCTGCCCCACCTCTCACCCCTCATCTCAGTTACTTGTGGTTAAGCTCAGGGGAAGGGAGATGAGTTCAGACATCTTCCTGCTGCCGAGACAGACAGACAGACCCGGCTGGGGGCAGGCTCAGGTCTGCAGGACCGAGGTTCCCAGGCTCCTCCCGGTCTCGTCAAGCCCTTCACTTCTCTCCAGAGCCTCTGGACTTTCAGGAGCAAGGCTGTGGGTGTCGGGCCGCAGCTGGGGTGCAGAGATGAAAGCAGCCCCTCTCTGACTTCCCTTTCCTGCAGGGCTGGCAGAACCCAGGAGGCCGTGACGCCCTCGGATGCCTGGTAGGACGGCGGGCCTGGCAGCCTGCGTCTGCTCACCCACCTGGCTCCGTTCCCACGGCTCTGCAGGCACAGACGCCAACCCGAGACTGTGCGGTCCCCTGCAGGGTGACTGCCCTGGGACACGGGGAAGGTGACAGGACTCTGCAGCCTGCCCAGGACTGGAGCTGGAGGGTGGGCCAGAGGGGCTGCGGCACCCCCCCGCCCTGCCTGGGACTGTATTTATTCTGATTAAATATGTTTTGCAAAACGGGCTCACCTCGTGGGCGCCTGTGCTCATGCCGGGCCTGCCCCCCACTGCCCGCGGGCCACCTCCAGGCCTCCTGCACGTGCGGCCCCTTCAGCTCCTCCTCTTGGCTCTTGGAGGCTCCTCTCCTGCCCACGCTGGGTCCCACAGCCTCACCAAGTGCCCAGGTGCTCCATGGGGAGTCTCCAGGTGCCCAGGCTGTTTCAATACAGTGCAGGGCACCCCTCTGCTGGCCAAGCTCTGGATGGCAGGACAGAAGCGTCCCAGCTTGAGCACCACCAGGGTCAGCCTGAGCCTAAAGGGTGAACCAGGCAGGAAGGAACAACTTGGGGGGGGGATGGTCACGGGAGGGGTGTCCAGGGTGACAAAACCAGCAGCAAGATGCTTTCATAGTTATTGGGGTGGGGGCAAGTTAGGAAGGGGCTGAGGAGCCAGCCAGGGGCAGCCGGTGCCTAGGCCTGAGGCAGGAGGGGGTGACCTTTTCCGGCCAGGCTGTTTTCAGAGCCTGTGGGATGCTGTGTGCCCCAGGGTGTAGGGAGGAGGGGACTAGTCTGTCACAGCCGCAGTGTCCCCTGGGTGCCGGAGCTGGGGCAATGGCCCTGGGCGGGGAACCGGTCGAGCGCACTAGGCCTCAGGGCTCTGCACCTCAGGGGGGAACCTAGAAGAGCCAAGCTTGGGCCTGGGAGGGGCGGGAGGGCCGGTCCTGCCCACAGTGAGGGTGCCCCTCCATCTGTAGAGCCCGGGCCTCCTCCCCAGGACAGCCCCCTGGGGGGCTCGGCTCTGTGTTTGGCAGATGTCCAGGGGCCGATGCTGTCTGTTGATGTGGCCTGAGGCTCACCCAGCGTCAACCCGAGCTCTGTGGGTAGGGGGTGGCGCCCCTGCTGTCCCTGACACATCAGGATCCCTGGCTTGTGGTCGATTCCAGACAAAAAAAGCCTTCCTCAGACTGTCAGGACGCACTTTTGGGTGGATGGACTAAGGGACCACTTCCAGTTTGACGTGGCGACACCCTCGCCTGCCTGGCAACAACTCCGAGGCTGGAACAGGCTATTTGTGAAAGTGGAAGACCCGCCCAGGACATGTTCCTGGAATTATCACGTGACGGGCAATTATTTCCTCGAGCACCAATCCAGGTGGAAGGTGTCTTGCAGGTGTGTTTAAGCCGATGTCAGCGAGCTTGTGAAAGACGGGGCAGCAAGGGAGGGACCGATCCTGTGAAAGGCCAGGAGAGCAGCAGTTTTCCGGGGAGGTTCCGCCTGGAGGCCACAGCACTGGCTCCTGCCCAAGGTCGCAGCGGGCGCCTGGCCTGCAGTCGGAGGGCAGCCCGTGGTGTGGCCGGGCCGGCACACCTGCCGGGGCCGCTCCTGACGCGCCCGGGGCCTCGAATCCCCCAGCCGGAGCACCTGGCCACGCTCCCTCCGGTTCTGGGTTCTGGGCCTAGGTTCTGACCCTATGAGCTGCTGGCTTTGGGCACGTTCTGTGACCTCCCAGCCCAGTCCCTGCCTCATGGGGCTGCCGGAGCAGAGGCCGAAGCTCCCGCACCGTGCTGAGCGCATGCCTGACACAGTCTTTCTGAAAACAAACCGGAAACAAAGACCCGTTCTGCTTGCCGGAGGAGACCAGGTGACGGGGGAGGTGACAGCTATTTCAGCGCCATGACAAGGCCCCTCCACACCCTGCTTCTTGACTGTGGCCGCTCAGCAGAAGCCACGGGGGAGAGTGAACGCGCCGGGGCTGGGCCGCCCCGGGTGCTGGCTGCACTGGTCTGGGATGTGCCCCAGCCCCGGGGTGGCACACCCACGCCTGAATGTCCCTGAAGCCCTCGGCAGCGCCGCCCCCTTGGGCCGCCTGAGCTGCTCTGGCCCTCACAGCTGCCGGGAGCGGGACCGAGGGCAGGCCTGCTGCCCGGGCGCGTGCAGGGGACAGTCCCACAGCAAAGCTATTTAGTTACATGTCTGTCACGACTCCTCATAGCTTTTCCCGACCCGTCCCAAACGTGCCGTTGCCGCAGCTCCTCCGAGGCGCCCGCCTGTCTCGTCCGCCTCCTCCAGCGGACGTGCTCAGCTCCCCAGCAGCTCGGACTCTGCTTCTCGGTCACTTGCCGTGACACCTCCTCCTGCCTCACTATGCGCATCACGCTGCCACCACCGGGCACCCTGCCCGCCTTCTGTGCCCTTCTCCACGGTCCTGCCGGAGCAATGAGAATGCGCAGCCCCGAACCGCTCATCTTCCTGACCCCACCCAGCCAGCCTCCTTGTCACCCGTGGCTACCAGACACCCCTTCCCCGGTCACAGGACAGTCACTTCAGATCTCAGCTTTCTCTGTTCCTCCAACCGTCCCTCCCTCGCTACCCCGTCTTTCACAATCCAATCCGGCCCCAGGCCCGGGGCAAATGCCGCCGCCGCCTCCAGGAAGCCTGCCGTGCGCAGTGGATGTTGCGAGGCCGCGGCCGGTTCCCCCAGGGGCACTGGCAGTCCGCCCCCTCAGGAGCCGGGCATGCGCGCTGGGCGAGCGCTGGCGGAGCGGTGGCCTCCGGGGGCGTCCGTGTAGAAGGGTAAGTGCACCGTCGGGCTGTGGTCATGCTCCCGGCCTTTCATTTCTCCACGCAGTACCTTCCTTTCCAGTTTCCTAGGCAGCCAGAGCTTGCCGCCTGGCCTGACCTGTACTCTTGATAAAACAAGGACACGGCCCCTCAGAGTGGAGACCGGCGCTCCGCCTGCTGGTCCGAGCAGGGGCCACGGAGACATTCTGGTTTGTCGTCAAGAGGCAGCTCTAATCCTGGCGGAACAGGCCCGGCGCTGAGGTCGAGGGCAGGGCGCCCGGGGGCCCGAGGAAGGAACCAAGTGCCTGGACACTGGCAACAGTGTTGCCCTTACCCAGGGCCGCGAGTTCCGCGCTGACAAAGTGCCTTGTGAGAGTGACTAAGGCGATGTTACTGTTACCGAAGTGAAGGAAAAAACCTCCAGGAAACACAAAGACCCTCCTCGCTCTCTTCTCTCCCAACGTTTCTGATGCCCAACCGGGGTCACCGGAGCCGTGGTTGTCGCCTGGGCTGATGTGGGCGGCGGCAGCTGGTGCAGAGCCCGCGAGCACCGGCGCCTCCCCGTGGCCGCGAGCGAGCTCGACGCCAACTGCAAGCCGCCAACAGCGTGGCGTGGGCCAGGGCGGGCTCGGGGTTCACGGCCGCGCGCGCTCCCCCAGTGCGCACGCAGTGAAGGCCGATGACACCCGTCTTTGAAAAAGAAAAAAACCCCACGCATTTACTTCAACAGCCAAGAAAAAAAATTGCAATTTATTAAGATTCAACAAAGCGTTGTACTTTTGAAAGCAACTTTCGGTGCGTGTTCAACAATCACATTCTATGAGGAAAACATTAAAAGCCACAAACTCGTTTCTTAATCTCAGAGTTACAGACATCTTCCGTTCAAAATAAAAGGTCGAAAGAAAGAAAACAAAACAAAAACCCCTCCCCCCAACAGAAAACAAACACAGACAGACAGATTCTTTACTTCCATCCCCGATTTTCAAACATCAGGAGTTTCTCCACAACTCAATGCTACGGACGGCCGCCCGGGGGCCGCGTGCCCGGGCGCGCACGCACGTGTATTTGATATACATATGCAGGTATACATACGTCAAATACAGAGGACGCAGGTCGTGGCCACGAGAGGCGACCGCGCTGAGGAAGGTCTGTGTAGCGAAACGCGACGAGCTGAGGGCAGGTCTGGAACCCAGTCTGTGCATAGTTCACGGTCCTCTATAAACCGGCTCCGGTGGGCCTGCCAGCCTGCAGGACCGGCTTCTTTTTTTATTTATTTTTTTGTTTTGTTTTGATAAAACCTTTAAAAAGCGAATTAAAAAAAATGTAATGCACAAGTTTCCTGATCAAGCAGGCAGGGAGCACAATGTCCATATATTTTTTAAAACATACTTGAGGGTATGTTAGTTACTCCATTGTCTTTCTTTCTTGCAAAACAATCAAAACATTGATCATTTTTAAAACATAAAGCAATTTTTAATATATAAAGCACTCTTCCACACCTCTTCCGAGTCAGTTATTTGGTAAATATGTAACTGCTACACATTAGAGATTAGGTATTTTTCTTCTTTGTGTTTTTTTCCTTTTTTTGTTTTTTTTTGATTCGTTTTTTAATAACATCTTCAGTGCTAGGAGTCGGGTTACAAAATCCATGAACGGGTGGAGCTGCCCTCGGAGCCCCGGCCTTCCTGAGAGCCTCCGCGTGTGCAAGACTGACCACGGCGGCCGTCCCGGGAGGGGCGGCGGCGCCCACGACGGCGGCCGGGGGAGACAACACTGCTCGATCCCAGAGCTCGGAGTGGCGCCTCTGCGTTCTGAAAATAGGTTTCTTTACGACGAAGTCTTTTTTTTTGTCTTTTTTTAAATTCCTTTTTTAAAATTTTTTAAAGTCTGAAGGAGAAAAAAGGTCTGTAAACAGGCGGAGCCCCCACCACGGGCCCCTGGGAAGCAGCCGCAGCCCGCGCCCAAGTGCTAGTTTCCGTTCCTGCGTGGAACCTCCACCCTTAAAGTATCTATGGCCACAGTTCACAACAGTTTTCTCTTTAACTTTATGTTCCAAATGGAAAAATGGTGCAACACTCTGGTAATAATTCTCTTGCATTAATTAGTCCACAATAAAAAGCTGCTAAAGGTAGGTATACATATTATTTCTCCAGAGATACACACTGTAACTGTAACGCGGTAACAGAGTCCTTGAGTAAACATTTACACGTGAATTGTCGCCGGCCCTGTCCCGTGAGTTCTAACGTGTAGGATTAGCTGAGGAAGGGCAGGGACACTCAGTGCAAAGTTAGAAGCTAATAATAACCAACGTCTGACCAATGCGCCAAAAAAAGCATATACTGAATGAAAGGGAAGACCCAGTTAGGTCCCTCACACGTGACACACGGACACAGGAAGTGCGCACACGCACGCACACGCACACGCACGCGTCTCCGCACACACACGTAGGCTGTGAACTCAGCGATTTTTCCTGGAGCCTGTTTCTGCGTCGATGTCGACCTGGAAGTGTGGAATTAGACTTAGAGAGTGTTCACATTTCGTTATTGGCCTGCTGGATTCAAGTATTTGCATGTTTGATATGTCTTTTTTTTTACTTTTAAAAAATATTTTTTGGGATAAAAAAAATGACATGAAAAGTAATGAAACAAGGGAAATGTGCATAGGCGGATCCGTGGGGACAGAGGCCGGATCGCAGACCGTGCCTCCCGCTCCGCTCGCCGAGGCCCGCACTGCGGCCCATGGTGAGCGCCAGCCCCCGATTACGGCCCGCCTCTGGTAATGTGCATAATCGTCACAGGCTCGTTAAATAGGCTTTCTCGTCTCCCTCCCTCCCTCCCGCCCCCCTTG